ACTATCCATCTCTGATCCAAGCCTTGAGCCAAACCCTAGCTTCAGCCAGAAGCTAGAATCTACTCACTCTGCCCCCTGCTCCTGGCTCCTAGTGTTTGTACCAGATCTCTCCTTCGGTTGAATAGCCCCTCTCTCTATGAATCAGATTTCCCCCAAGCTTGATACTTTATTTTTGTTTGTATTGGAGGAAGGGAGGCTAGTTGCCAAACCCCCGGAAAGAAAAGGATGAAGTGGGGAGGGTCCAAGAAGCTCCTGTGGGGGAGTAGCTAATTGGGAACACGGAAGGGGAGCGTCCATCCTAATTCTTAGCTAGGCTGAGGTGTCCTGAGATTGGTGATGCTCACCCCTCAAAGAGAAAAGTGGGTGAGATTCTAGGTCCTGTGGGAGGGAGAATAGCTAAGCCAAAAGCAGCTGGGCTGTCAATAGGAGCTCCCTTGGACAACTCCTGACACCCCTGTAGGAATCTAGCACTGATTCCAAAACACCTGCCCTCCTCCCACAACTGCACAAATGTAGTCAGGAGAGCAGGAACTGGCAGCTTTTGTCTAGAGCAGTGGGTGGTCCCTTGTTTTTGGCTGAAGCCCTGAGATCACACTTCTGCACACTGGACATGCTTGCTGGTGATGCACAAGCTTTGCTCTGCTTGACTGGCTCCTTCTGCCTGGTCACCACCAGTTACTGTCCGTAACAGTCATTCTCAGAAAGGAAGACAGCTTGCTTGGCTGTGCCTCAAGCTGAGGTCATCCCTTTCCTTATCTCCCTGAAAGAAACACTAAGACAGACCTAGGTTTTATTCCTTGGCATTTTAAAATCCCTGTGATACTGAGCAAGGTATTTAATCACCCGGAGCTGTGCTTTGATTTCAAAATGGGGTAATAATAGCATTTTTCTCATATAGTTGTAAGGATTGAGACAATGCGCTTAGACCAGGACCTAGCATAAAATGGACCCACAATAAATTGTACGTAATATTTTTAGTTGCTTTATGGGCTTCAGTTTTCTTATCTGGAAAAATGAGCATAGTAATAATCATTGAAATCTCTTAATATTTTTCTTAGAACCAAATGAAGTAATGTATGTACAGCAGTTAGGAGTGATTCCATCCATAAGAGTATATAAAAATTTGGTCTTTTTTTTTTTTTTTTGATTCTCTAAATCAACAATTCTCTTCTAAGCTTTTAACTACCAACCTATGGAAGATTTAATTCCATTTGTGTTTTGTGGCTTTCTTTCCATTCTCTTTTCCCACAACTTAGTGTCTTGCAAAAGTCTCTGGGGGTTTTACTTCGGACAGACCCTGGGGGTTATGCTGATGTGCGTCTTATCCAAGCCCGCACTCCACCGAGGGGTGCTGCTCTGAGGCCTCCGTGCCAACTGGGGCGTGGTGACCTTTCTTCAGTTTCCAAAGACTCAGTTCTTAGTGTTCCCCACTCTGGGATCCCTGTGGAAGTGGGGTCCAGGCTGCTTCCTGCTCTAGAAACCCCGTGATAGGTAGTAAAATTTTGGCTCCTAGTACTTTTGCCCTCTTGTGTTGTTCCTGTGATTAAGGAACAAGAGATGTTGCTGATATACTTAAGGTTAATAACCAGCTTACTTTATAATTGGGATATTATCCCAGATTATCTGGATGGACCTAGTTATATGAGCCCTAAAAAGCAGAAATCCTTCTCAGTCTTGTAGTAGAAGAGAAGAGAGATTTGGAGAATGAAAAAGATTTACTTGTCTTTATTGTCTTGAGGATGAAGGGAAGATGTGTCCAGGAAATCAAAGACCTGAGTCCTGTGACCAAAAGGAATTGAATTCTTTCAACAGCTTGAATGATCTTGGAAGAAGATTCTACCAGAGCCTCCAGAAGGGAGCCTGGCCCGGACGACACCTTGATTTTAGCCTTGGGAAGCCCCGAACAGAGGACCTGGCTGAGCCACACCGTGCAGGCTCAGAGAACTGCGAGATGATAAATGGGTGATGTTTTAAACTGCCAAAGTTATGCCGATATATTACAGCCACAAAAGAAAACAAAATAATGCTCATAATCCCACTTCTTTTCTTAATCTTGGAGAGTCTCTTGTCTTTGGGCTTAGGAGCTTCTGCTGCTTCAACTCTGAGCCTTCACAGATAATTAGGCATAATTCAGTAAGTGAATTTTTGTGAAAACTTCGGACTCCTTTTTGCAAACAGAAGATGGGGCATAGAAAATGTCTACTTATAATGCTGCAATTAAAAAAAAACTTTAAGCCCAGGGGATACAAAGATTTAGGTACTTTCTTATAATGGGAGGAGTGATAAAATGAATCCAAATGAATATATCAGTCAAGTTTTCTGACACATATATAATAAGTACTTAGCCTAGTGCTTGATACATAGTAAGTAATATTTTTTGGACTAAAAATGTATAATAATAATAATAATTATTATTATTATTTTGGTTATTCCAGAAACTTAAACTTTGGGTTTCCTTTTACCCATCCTGACTTAACTCTATTCAGCTTAATCCCAAATGATCAAAACATGGTTTTCCACACAGCGATGGAAATCTTTCCACACCTAGAAAACCCCAGCATGGCATTTCTGGTATTCGAGGTGACTTCTGGTACGGTGGCTTTCAAATTATGAGGAACTTGGGACAGGTGTGCACCTTCTAGTATGTCAATGAAAGCTTATTCTCAGTTCCCTAAGTCCACCACCAAAATGGTCTTCATAACATACCCACTCCATTCTAGCTCAATGTGAGTTGAGGGCTGAGATGGTAGGAAAACCTTTTGAGAAATTGACACATACCTTTCTCCAACTTTGAGCCTTTATATACTTCGACTCTCCTCTCTTTGGTTGCCAAATGTATATTTGGATACCTACCATGTACCAGGTACAATTTTGGTCCTGAGGATCCATGGATGAACAATACAGATCCAGTGCCAGCCCCATGGAGCTCATATTTTGTGAGAAAGATATCACAAAGTAATCACATATTTTAGACTAATTTAATGTGCAATGCCCCTCATCATCTCTTCTGACATGTTGGCTTTAGTCACCTCCTCAGTTCCTGTGGCCGTTTGAGAACGTGTTGTTCCGAGTCTTTTGTGTCTGAGTGCACCTGTATCACCTGCATCCACCACCTCCAAGGGGTTGGTCAGGTTTGAAGACACCAACAGCTCTGGGGAGCTGTCTCCAGGACCACGCATCAGCCGATGTGCTGCACACATCCTGCCCTCCCCGCACTGAGCGCTCCACTCTACATTCTCTTCTACCACCTGTAATCATCATTCTTGATATTTGGTAGTTGGTAGTTTGGCATCTTGAAATCATGGGCCAAACTAATGGCCAGAGTTGTTTATATCTCCCCCTAGTATAGCGTTTACAGGTGCTTGAAAATCATATTATGAGCCCTCCCACCACAGCACCCGTGATCTGTGTTTTGCTTTCTGCCTAATAGGAGATATTCCCACCTAAAAACTTCACCAATGTAGTAATAAAGACGTTTTTTGCCCATGATTTCCCTTCACTCCTCCTGTCTCCCGACCAACCCTGATTCTTCCCTGTGTGGTCCTGTATGGTGCAGTGTGCCCCTCCTCTTGGGAATTGTAAGTCATAAATTTTTCTTTCAATGGCATTGACTATGCTGTGTCATTACTCAGTCATATTGATAAATGAAGTCCCAGACACATTTGAAGTCCCAGTCAGAATACCAAGTGGCCCAGCTTAGACATGGACTGGCCAGGCCTTAGAGAAGCTGAAGTTGTGACTAGGGTGAGTGTGATTCAGAGATGACATCAGACTCCTCCCCACAGACCCCATGACACTTTCTCTGCCCAAACCTGCAGACCTTCCAAGTATGACAAAACCCTCCAAACACGCATCTCCAGTTGTTTCCAACCATGACATTCCACTCCATCTAGTCTCTATTCTTCACCCTATGTTTTAGAACACTGTATAGAGAATTAGGGGTGGGTGTTTGCCAGCACCGAGGCCAGCTCCAGCAACTGGCATGGTAGTTCAGGGCCAGGTGAGTGGTCCTGGGAACTAGTTTCCCCTTGGCAACAGTCCTGAATGCAGGGTAGCCCTGACCCCAGGCTCCAGGGTGGGGTCAGAGGAGGGAGAAAGGAGCAGACATATCTTCTCCAGCCCACTAAGCTAGATCAAGCCCTGCATAGCTCATGAGTTTGAGGATGTACAATCTGCTATGCGATGCAGTGGTCAGTGTGTGTATATGTGAACATACCTATGGACGCATGTATACACTACAGCAAGGTGGTGTACCAGCCTGCTTCACCTTGGCTCAGTACTGATTCTCAGTCCACCAGGTACTCCAGCCTCTTTGAATCCAACCACCAGCTACTACACAGCCCATGCCCAACACTCTGTGACTTGGAATTCAGAGAGAAGTTATCCTGCCCACTATTAAAGCCAGTAGCTTTTTCCAGTCAGCTCTGTAAATGCTTAGTGAGGAGGCAAATACTTTATTGAAGAGCAACTTGTAGGGTACACTTGTGACCCCATATCAGGGGCATTGAAAGGATATCTTGGAACAAGAGGGCTCTGGGTGTGCTTTTGCATATTTACAAATGTGCACACACCTGTGGAGGGTCCCTGTGTGTTTATTGGTGTATGGCTGTCAGTGTACATTTATTTCTGAGGTGCATGACTAAATATGTACATATGTATATATATGCATATATATGTACATATCATGTGGGTATAAAACATACCTATGTTTGTGAGAAAGCATGTATGCTCTGAGAATGGAAACTCCAGAGCATATTATATGGGATACATACTCTCAGTGTATGTATGTGTAACTGTACTGTGTGTGCATGGGTGTGTGGGTGTGTTGGTGAGTGGGGGGTGAACATGTGCTGTGCTCCTACATCTCTAGGTGGGCAGCTGTAGACCTAGTTCACTCCCACCTCTGTAACCCAGCAGGTAAAAGGCAGAGTTTCTACAGGCAGGCTTTCCTATAACTCTGGATTTGCTTGGAGGTGGGGGTCCTAGGGATGGAGCTGGTATCACTCTGGGCCTGGGAGTCCCTCCTGGCCAGCCCTGCCCTCCCCATCCTTAAAAGTTTCCTCCCCAGGCTCGCCTTCATCATCTGCCTCAGCCAGTTCCTCGGGCATTGGCCATTCTCGAGTCTGCCACTCCAGCCGTTCGATACGATAAGCGATCTTGAGTGCGCTGGACTCCAGCTCAGCCAGGAGGCGAGCAAACTTGGTCTGTAGATCATCAAGTTGTTGGTCAAGGCCTTGCAGCCGGGACTCTGTGGCCTGCTGTAGGGCGATCTCAGCTGCCTCAGCATTTACATCAAGCTTGTTCATTTTGAGCAGGATCTCACGGCCCTTTTCCTCCATGATGGTCTGGGCCTTTGGATACTCACTCAGCACTTCCCGCAGGTCTTCCTTGCTCAGGCAAAATAGGTCCGAATAACCTAGACTCTTGATGTTGGCCGTGCGGCGGTTCCCAGACATATTCCCTGTGGCACAGGGGCAGACCGAAGGGATGATAATTAGTCAGGGTGAATGTGAGGGGACATTTCATTCCTGAACAAGGACACCCACTCTATTTTTGTGCTTCTGAACCCCTCTTCCTGTTTCAGTAATTCTTTCATTCAGTACTTTACTAGGGACTAAACCTGTGCTGGGAGGGTATTAGTGACCTGCCTCGAAGAAGCATAGTCTAGAAGAGACAGGCATTTAATCGGATAGTTGCATAACAGTATTGCCGGTGCAGTGTAGACATATGCATCTGGTTCAGTGGGAAGACAGGAGAAGCGCTCCTGACTGTAAGGCAGAGAACTTAGGGAATCCTGGAGGAAGTGACGCCTGATTGAAGGCGCGGTAACTAGGGAAAAAGGGGTTGGAGCAGCTACACAGAGGGAGGAACACGAACTGAGGAATGGAGGTAGGAAAGAGTTCGATTGGAGCAGAAAACAGAATGCAGTCCAGAGTGGCTGAAGTGCAGGGTGTCAGGACAATGGAAAGAGGAGGGGACAGCCAGGTCGCACCAGGTCTTGTTAGCCATGGCAAGGCATTCAGGCCTTATGTTGAGGGCAATGGGAAACTACTGAAATATTCTAAGCAGGAGAGCTATATGGCATCATTAGCACTGGAAGATATTGGTGGGGGCGGTTGGGTGGGAAGATAGGTTAGGCCAAGTAATCCAAAGTCTGAAAACTAGAAGAGGCAAGAGAGCTACATGCCAGGCACTACTCTGGGTGCCTAGCCAATACAGCTCATTTAATCCTCATGAAACTTTGTTTTTTTGTTTTTGTTTTTTTAAAAAATATAATCCCTATTGGATAGGTGAGGCCTAAAAAAGGGAAGTGACTTGTCCAGAGTCAGATAGACAGCAGCTGATGACATACAGGATGCAGAGCTTGAGGGGAGCCTTTGGAGGACAGACACGAGGCCTTTAGGAGAACTGAAGAATGGGGCCCCCAGGCCGAGACAGCATCTGGCCTCATCAGTGACAGTGCTCACTCCCTTTCCAGGTTTTGCCATCTTCCACGTCCTGTGGTCTCAGTGTCTCCCTGTGATTAGGCATAACAACTCCCACTGCACAGACCGACAAGAGGAACAAATGAGCCAATGTACAGAATGTGGCCTCAACCGGAGCTGATGTTCAGTAAGTGGAAATTTCTTTGACTAATCCCATAGAAACAGACAACAGTGTGGTGATGGCCGGAAGGAAGGGGGTCAAAGGTGGGCAGTGGGAGGGTGGGCAAAGGGAGAGAGAAAATGGAGACATCTGTACTAGTGTAAACAATAAAAGTAAAGTTAAAAAAAATATGTGGGCATTTCTTTGTTTCCATTTGACTGTGAGAAAGTTGCTCTTTGTACTGACCCCAGGTACATATACTTATTACCTGTGTGAGGTTGGACAAGTTCCTTAACCTCTCTGTGCTCTTACCTTTAAAATGCAGATAATAGTACCTACCTTAGAGCTGCTGTGAAAATTGAATGAGTTGGTACATGTGAGCACTTGAAACAGGGCATATAATAAGCATGCAATAAGTATTGTTATTAGTGTTATTATCGTCATCTCTGCTGCTTCCCACTGGTGCCTCAGGTCCACATCCACAGAACAACTCTCCTCTCTCTTGCCAGGACCCACTCTACTCACTGATCTTGGCTCAGCTTCTTCTCAGGGAACAGATCCTCTACGTCCTAATTCTGTCCTGATCCCTCTAGTGATTCAGGCAAAGGCCACATGTCCTTAATCTGTAGGATCTGACGTACCATCTGGTCTCAGGACTGGGCTCTACTTTCCCCCTCCCCCTCCCCTAGCCCTGTCTTAAGAACCAATGCTGAGGTGCCCACCTTTGATGTTGATGATGCTGATCTCCCCAAAGTAGAGGCCTGCCCCAAGCACGGCGTACTGTGTGACACCGTCATCCGCCACCACGGCCAGCTGACCCTCGCGGATGATGTACATCTCTCGACCAATGTCCCCCTTGCGGCAGACGTATTCTCCTGGTGAGTAGGTCTGGGGCTGCAGCTTCAGCACCAGCTCCTCCAGCAGGCTAGCCTCACAGTTCTGGAAGATCTGCACCCGGCTCAAAGTAGACAGGTGCACAGACACAGCCACTTCTGCTCGCAAGCGCTCTGGCAAGTGCTGTAAGATGGCCACCTCGTTGGTCATCTTCTTGTTGATCTGCAGATGTTGGTACCTGGAGACAAGGGAAGCACTAGTTCTTCACCAGCCTCCCATGTGCCACCCTCCATCCCTTCCTCCAGGGCTCAGCTCAGCTTTAGCCAAGAGCCTAATCACACTGAGATGTCGCAGGGGTCATGGGAATACTTGACAGTTGGTTGGTGAATATCTCCAGTCTACAGTATGTATCCTTTGTTGATCACAGATATGTTTTGACTTTTTCTCTCTCACCCAGGGTCTGGGAGCCTCCACCAGCAGACAATGAATAAGATACCATTTACCTTCTGTCAGTTTATAATCCACCCGCCAATCAGTGATGTCTTGTACCGTCCAACTGATATCCACTTCAACCACCAAGCCCCATCTTCTCTAGAGTTTTCTGCTTTAGTTGGTGACACTTCCCTTCGTTCGGTCCACAGTATAAACTACCATAACATAGTCAACCACCTTGTTTTGGGCCATCCCCTGGGGGGTTTTGCTCTTCTCCCTTACTCTTCCCAGGGAAGTATAAGGGAGAAGAGCCATACCAGGCAGTGGCAGTTCCCATTACATAGGTTATCTTTCTTGTGCATAAGTTCCTCTCCTAATTAGCCTGACCACACCCCCAATAAGTCCAGATCCAGTTAGTGGGCGACATCCTTTTCCAAGTCCCGCCCACCCTCACCCCTGCCCCCCAGTGAGTGCCACATCCTGATTGTCTTCCTGGCCCACCAGGTATTAAGAACTCGGCCACCTGCCTCAGATTCTATTCAGTACCTCTCCCTGTTCTGGCCTGGGTCCCCAGCATCCTCACCAGTCAATAACTCGCCGCTCCAGCCGGCGGTTGACATGCTGTAGCTTCATGTACTTCTTTACCAGAGCATGGTCGGGGTAGAAAGCTGCATCTGCAGTGTTCATGTTGTAGATGACAGAGCTCATGCTACCCATGATGGTGGCAAAACCCATGACGGCCAGCAGGAAGTCACCCACCATAAAGAGGTACTCTTCCTCCTGCTCTGGAAGTGGTGTATCGCCCACGGTAGTCAGGATCAGCGTGGAGAAATAAAAGCTATAGAGGTACTGGCGCCTTAGGCGCTCAAAGCCAGGTTGTGCAGGGTCTGGGTAAACCCAGGCGTCACGCCCGAAGCCCAGGTATTGGGACAGGGCAAAGTAGAGGCAGCTGTTCCAGTGGATGACCACAAAAATGTAGAGCATTAGTTTGGTGATACGAAAGGCATTGGGGTAAGCTGTGCGGGTCTCAGTGCGGTCAAAGGCTTCAAAGAGGCGGGGTACACGCAAAAAGCGGTTCAGCCTCAAGGTTGGCGTGTGTGGGCCCAGTCGCATGTAAGCAATGTCTGTGGGCACCAAGGAAGCCAGGTCTAAGCAAAAGCTCCAGGTGCGAATGTAGCGACTCGAAATCCTACCCTTGTCCACCACTAGGATGCCCTGTTCCAAGAATCCTGGTGGGAGGAAGAGAAGGAGGGGATGGGGTCAGGGGTGGGGTTAAGTCTGGACACTGGCCTGCTCTGATAATAAGGGCAAGGGTGGACACGCCAGGGTAGGCCAGGGAGACACAGGAGAGGGTGGGGGCAGCTATCACCTTGCTCCAGGGTTGCTGGTATGCGTAAGGGGTACTGTCAAGCATAGAGGAATGTGAAAGTGCTGTAAGGAAGGGGTCATTTCCTTGGTACTAAGAAGTTCTAGGAAGGGAACTTAGAAGAGAGGGTCAGTCTTGGGATTCACTAACCGGTGTGAAAGTGCACCACAATGTCCAGTAGGTATAGCAGGTCACTCGTGTAGTCCAGCACTAACCAGGCCATCAGATAACCATGTTGCAAGTCAGGAAAGCAGGCTCTGTGTGGTGCAGACAGAAGGGCTTGGCTTAAATACACCCTTTGTGTGTGCGAGATGGTCCCCCCAAGCCACTCAGTCCTCCCCACTGGGTTCTTGCTTAGGCCCCGCCCCTCCCCAAGACCCCACTCCTTCCCTGACCCTTTCTCTTTCACCCTTGTCTCTGCTAAAGCCTTTCCTTTAGCATCTGCCAAACCTGCACACGATGATGATGATGTTATACATTACTGGGAAGACCATCGTGTTGAGCCACCAGTAGTAGTAATCCCCAGATGGGTCCAGGACAGGCAGTGTTTTCCTGTGGGCAAGAGGGGAAGTCCTGTTTCATTTATTCATCATTCCATTGAAGGTTGTAACTTGGGGCAGGTACCAAGAGGAATCAGGCTCCATTTAGTGATGCAAACAGATCTGACGCAGGATAACAGGTTCTCTCACCTGGCCTTGGATGGCACAGAGGGGCTGGATTCTGTCGTCTTCACTTTGCTGTCCTGGCTCATGTTTCTGTGGCCTGGTGCCTGGGTGTGAGATATCCAGGGCCTCTGCTGGTAGGTGGCTTCAGGAGGTGGGGGCTAGTGCCTGCCTGCCTGCCTGGAAGAGGCAGCCCTTGGTTTCCGGCTGTGACTTCTCTGTCTTTGGCTCGTGAAGCTCTTAGCAACACAACCAGGGCTAGCTCTACCGAAGGGGTGGAGGCAGTGTGGCCCTAGCATCCCGCCCTGTCTCCCAGGGCCTGAGTTTACACCTGCTTAGCTAAACATCTCTAATGAGTTCCCTGGAGAAGGTGAGGGTGTATGCCTCAGAAATAAAGCTGGGCCTTTTCTCTACCTATCACATCCCCCAAGCTGGACTACATAGGGGCCTTCTAGTCAGAAGACCTTGGTGACAGTATAGACTCGGGTATCCATTCTCTTTTACTTTGCGCAAGTTCCTTGTTTGGGCCTCATTAGTTGTTCATTCAACGACTATTTACTGAATGGCTCATTCGTGTTTGGTGCTGAATTCTCCAGGGACAAATACCTGTCACATCAGGTGTGAGCTCTGTTTTTATTATTTGTACCCTGCCTTATAACCACACCCACCTTACCTAATTCCTGCTGGATGAGTGTGATGGGGGCCATCCGGGGGTGTTTTGCCCCATTCTCTTCTTGTTACTTCCAGTACCTGATACCACCAGCTGTTTCATGTGTTTTCTAGGTCCTCCAACTCATTTCCCTTTCTGTGGATATGCTTACATCTCTCCCACACCAAAGCAAACAAACAAAAACCTAAAACTTCTCCCTTAACTTGATGTCCCTTTCACTACTATGATCTTTTTCAGTCAACAGGTCATAATGAAAACACCTGCTATGTGCCAGGTCAGTATTAAATTAAATATTGGGGACAAATGATGAATGGGAGCACTCCTTGCTTCTAGAAACTCATAGTCTGGTAGGGGAAATAGCTGATCTCCCCTGGGTAGGTAGGTAATTACACACCTATCTGTCTGATGGGTACTCTATTAGGTGGGTTTTAGAGGGCCGTTGCAGTACATAGGAAGGCTCCGGACTGAGCCTAGGTGCTGCAGAATGAATAGGAGTTCGTCAGGTATAGAGATGGGAGGATGAAGAGCATGAGAGGCAAAGTGCATAGGGTGTGCAAAGACACAGATACTTCAAAAAACTTGGGTGATTGGGGGAACATCAGTTGGTTTTTGTAGAGAGCATAAGGGGCTAGCAGTGAGAGATGAAGCTAAACAGTGAATAGAGGATAGCTCAGGGAGAGCTCTGTCAGCCATGTTATAAAGCTGGGATTTTATCTAAAGTCCATGGGGAACCTGTGAAGTGTTCTCTACAGTTAAGTAATATGATCAGGTCTGTGTTTTTCAAGTGTTTCTTGGAAGAAATATCTACAGTTCCCAACATTTTATTTTAGTTTTTTGAAATATCCTTTTCCAATGGCCTGTGTGACACCATAATTTCTTGATTTTTGATCATTTCTCCATAGTTTCTTCCATCAACCTCTCTGCCAGTCCTTGTGTTGGTATCTTTTAGGACTCTGCCCTAGGCCTCCCTTCTTCCTATCCTCCTAACTCTCTCAGGCCCATCTTGGTCACCCCTAAGATGTCCTTTACCACCTGATTACTTCCAAGAGCTCTCTCTTAGCTGCAGATCTATACATACCACTAACTTCTCACTGGTTGTCCCTGCTTGGATAGACCACAGTCACCTTCCACCCGTTGAATCTATAACTGAGTTCATTATCTTCCCCCATGGGCTTTTTCTCTTCTAATTCTATCTCTGGTCTTTCTGCCAAAGCACCTAACACCAGTACTTATTATTATTACTATTGTTGTTATTGTATGACATTTTGGCAGTTTTAAAAAACTACCAAAAATCCTAGTTCCTTTGGAATGTTTGGAAGCTCCCTTTCAGGATGGCTCCTCTTGGAAACTAGTTACACTGTCTGTACTTTGTTTGACAGTCCCAGCTGAGCTCAACCTTTGAGTTGTCCCAGCCCAGGTATCAAACATGTGAACGAAGAAGCCTCAAGTTACCCACCCCGGGAATTTGAACTTCCTAGATGTCATAGAGCAGGCATGCCATTCCTGCTGTACGACATGCACAGATTATCTGAGCATGATAAAATGGCCATTGTTTTATACCACTGAGTCTGCAGTTTGTTTCACAGCATAGCAATCATAATGAATATGCATATAGAAAAGTACACATTTCCTAAGTATACAGTTTGATGAACTTCACAAACATGAACACACCCATGTAACCAGCACAAACATCAAGAGTCCCACTCTATTTCCAGTCAATGCTTTTCCAACAGTAATCACTATCCTGACTTCTAGTTTAATTTTGGCTGTGTTTAAACATATAAATTAAGCATCAGTTTTTAATTTTCTTTTATTTTCCCTTCATATTCATCCAATCATCAAGTCCTGGTGACCTACCTTCTAATGTCCACATGTCCATTTTCCACATGTCCATTTCTCTGCATCCTTACTACTCAAATTTGGGCATTACCAATCTCACCATGGATAAAATTCTTTCACAGTTCTCTATTATAACAAGGATAAAATCTAAACTTCTTAACATGGCCTACAAAGTTCTCTAGTAACCGACCTGTGTCCCTGTCTTCAGCCTCATCTCACAGTGTTTCCTTTATATGTTCCCTAGGCTCCGGACATGCTGTAACTGATTGTAATTCCGAGGGCACCCTTGACATGTTGTCCATTCTTCCTTGCCTAGGTGTGTGCTGATCCTATGAATTGAAACTTCCATTTCTTTAAAAACACTTTTTATTTTCAACCAATTTAAAAATTACAGAAAAGTTACAAAAATAGTACAGGAAGTTCTTGTAAACTTCTTACCCACATTCCCGTTATCATTTTATATAACCAGAGTACAATGAAAACCAAGGAATTAATATTGATACAATACTTTCAACTAAACTACAGACGTTATCTGAAACTTTCATATCTCTTGGTTTATTTTAGTCTTGTTTGTTTTACAAGGCTGCTCAGACATCATCTCCTTCTGGAAGGCTTCCCCAAGTCCCTGCGCCCTTCTTGTTCCTCAGCTTCTAGACACAAATCACATCATGTGCTATTGTTCCACAGCACTTAACTACATTATGTTGCAATTGTTTGGTTAAAGAGCTGAAGTCCTGGAGGGCCTAGGCCTGTCCTAATCGTTCTGGAATCCCTCCTGACATAGACACGTTTATTCCATGTTCTTGAGTGCAGGTGTTGAGTAGCCGAAAGGAGCGGTCAGAGCCCAGAGGTACTATTCAAGCCATGCAAACGGTTGGAGCAAAGCTGACCTAAACTGTTAGCAGTCAGCGCTCTCTGGTACCCCCTTTACAACACGTACCGCCCACCTGGTGACACCTCCACTCAGACTTATACTTTCGCGCTAACCCCGCCCCTTCCATGCCCACCCTTCCACCCCAAACACAGCCCAGCGCCCGTGGCACTGTCCCTCTCGTGCTAGCCCCTAGCTCTCTCCTAAGTTTCAGCTCCCCGGTCTTTCCTGGGCTCTTAAAGTCGCTTCCCTTCTTAGGTCCCGCCTTCTGCCCTCAGGTTCAACCTTTCCTTCCCAAGCTCCACCTCTAGTCCAGCGGCCTCCACCTCCCCGCAGATCTTTCCACAACACGATCGAGTCCTTCTGAGGGGCGGGGTGTACAGCAAGAGGAGGCGGGTTCTGGGGAAGAGGCACAGCGCGGCTCTCGCCGGGCCGTCGGCGGCCCCGCCCATGAGCTCCGTCGTTGCCGGGAAACAGGTATCGACGCTCTGGCTGAGGCCCGGTCCAGCCAATGAGCTGGCACGCCATTGCCCAGTAGTGCGTCTCTGGGCGGTTACGTGTATTGCGCGGGGGCGCGGATTGCGTGGGGCCCTGGGCGCGGGGCGGGGCGCGGCTGATGCGTCTGAGGAGTGATGGCGGCGGCCTGAACTCACCTAGCGGTTCCGCGGCAGTCGGGCCTGGTTGGGGTCGGAGTTCCGTGAGTGAGCGGTGTGTATGGGCCAGAGGGCTCCGACAGCACGCGAGGGGATGAGAGAGTGGGGCATGACGGCCCCAGTTTTGGTGACTGTATGGGTTGTGGGGCGACAGGGCGGGGGGCTGGCATCTGGTGAGGGGCCGAGTCTCAGGTAGCGGATCAGGGTTAGAGCCTAGGAGTAGGTGGGCAGGTAGGGACTGGCTTGTATGAGGGACTGTGCAATGCTTTCCAAAGGGCCAAGTGGAAGGGACTTGTGAACAGGAGGGGCTGGGGCTCCTGTGGGCGGGGGGTGAGGGACAGCGCCGGGACCTGAGTGTGGGGGTGAGGCCCGTGTAGGGTGGGGGAGAGGAAAGGGCTGAGGCTGGAGCGTCTGGGCTGCTGGTGAATTGGTGAGGGAGTTGAGGGCAGGGAATGGGAGGAAGGACTGAGGGTACTGATACTTGGATAAGGGTGAGAGCTTGGTTCTGAAGTCTCATTCAGGGGACTGCCCTGGCCATTGAGAGTAGTAGTCGTAGACTGAGTAGAACAGCTTGGGTAAAAGTGTGCACTTGGCCCTTCAGCTCCTGTGAGCCCTACATATTTGGGAGGACAAAAAAAAAGAAGGCACCATGGGGGAGAATAACTATGAAATCATTTTTGAGGCTTAGTGTTCAACAGAGTAATCACTGGGACCCCTATACCCTCAGGTTCTTCTTTGGGACTGCAAGCTTGACGATGGTCTCTCTCATGGAGGTTTTAGGGCTGTGACTGCCTATTTTTGTTTTCTTTCCATCTGATTCTGGGTAGCCTTACTCTTCTGCTGCCCTTCACCTATGCTGAGCTGTGGGGCTTTGATGGTTATCATATATATTGGATTAACCACGTTCAGTTGTTAATTCTACTTTCAGGGAAGTCACATGGTTTGTTACATACAACATTATATTTAGGTTCCCAAACAGGCTTTGCTTTCATATTTTTACAGTAAAAAAAAAAAAAAAAAAGACCAACGAGGTAAATTTATGTACAGTAAACTGCTTGTATTTAAAATGTACATGTTTGACATTTTGACATGTTTACATATACGAAACCACTTTCAAGGTACTAAACATTTCTCTTACCCTCAGAAGTTTTGTCCTATACCTTTGTATTTTATCCCTTCCTCCACGACCTGATACTGGCATCACTTTATTAGCATTTACAGGTCCCTATCTCCCTGCCAACCCACATACATATGAAAAATTTGAAAGTTCTGCAAAGTAGGATTGACACTCAGTGATGATAGCGAATTAGTTTCACACCAATACATTTTCATCTCTGCTGACAGTCTGCCACAAGGCCTAGACACCTTCCTCATCATCAGGAAGAGCTAGAGCTTTCCTACCCAGACCCTTCTCTGAGAATTGGGGGCAGCCGAAGTTCCCATTCTGTTCCAGAGACTCAGCATCAGAACCAACTACTATTCTGTTCCATGGTATGTTTTCATTGCTTTTCTCTGGAGGCCAAAAAAGTTTTCATGCTGGCGGAATTCTTGGCAACCTGTCCAGACTCTCAGAACCCTATAGAACCTACATGTATCATAACAGGGTTTAGAGCAGTGATTCTTAAACACTGGGCCAAGGATTTTGTCAGTCCATGATAAAGTTTTCATCCACCCAAGGTGGAAGGAGAGAAAGACAACATATGAAACATGAATTTTTCATAAAAAATTTAATCTGAGATTATTATTTCTATTTTGGTGTTAAAGTGCTCTCCCACTAATGAAGTAATGGTAATAAAAGATGGAGGGTTTTAAAAAATGGTCTTATTTGTCAACATTAAAAAACACTCCAACATTTTAATATTTAAAAAATACTTCCACTGGTTAGTAAACTCCAGAAATTTAGAGTGTTGATGTGGTTGTTGTATTATGGTGAGGAAGCTTGTCTTTATAGAATAATTCTAAATAACGTCTATCTCTGAACAGCATTATGCTTTATAAAGCAATCTCACATTTTACTGGATTTACATAGATACCTTGTGAAATAGACAAGGGCAGGAGTTCTTATTTTATAGATGAGGAATCAAATTCAGAAGCCAGAGGCCACATAGTAATAAAGTGCCAGAGTCCAAAGTTTGGTCTCCTGAGACTGAGAGTGACTTGGAGAAAGAAAGTTTGTAATAGAGAGTGTAGGTGATGTGGACTCAAAAGGCACATGATGTATAAGAAGGGTTATGATGACATGAGGGACATTATAGTGGCAGGGAGCATTTTGTATGATTTGTAATGGATGAAATATGAAAGGTAGTCTGAGGGTGACATAGGGATGAGGGTCTGCTTAATATGGTGGCAGTGACATAGGAACAGGTATGCATAATATCTGGATCACATCATGATAGTGATAGGATGCTATGTCAGAGGGTTCTTTGGGACTATTCTAAATTCTTGGTTATTGTGGAGAAATCACTGGGTTTGGTAAGCTTATTATTATTTGCTACACTGAATTCTTTGTTGAATAATATAACCTTATTGAATAGTACATTAAATATAATGGACATATAGCTTCGTGGTAGATCTGAGAAGATGAAATAGATGAGGGTGATGATGTAGAGATGGAAACACGCGTGTAACCATCTATTCCACATTTGCTAGTGCAAGGCATTCTTCCAAGTGCTGGGAGAACAAATTCATAATTCATATATTAATTCCTTTTATTCAGCAAATACTTTAACATATAGTCTGCCCTTGTGATGCTCACATTTTATGAGATAACAAGGTAAATAAGACATGGTCCTCTGAGGTCTTAAGGAATTCTCAATCTGGTTAGGAAAGATAGACACATGAAAAAATAATTTAAATTTAGAAGGAGAATAAAGTACGAAAATATATGATAATGAGGTGATTACATCTCTGTATCTATCTCAGTCTCTCCCTATGTTCTAATTATATCTGTTCAGTGAGCTCCAATGTATCTCCAGATGTATCTCGAATTTAACATGTCCAAAACAGAAGTCATTGTCTTTGCTCTGAAAGCCTGCTTTTTCACCTTATGCCCCATCTCAATCCAGGCAAGGACTTCCATGTCATCTTCCATTCTTTCTGCTCCATCACCCCTTGCATTTAATCAGTCATTAAAATCGTAATATATTTTCTGTTTTGTTATCTCTTTTTCTATTTCCATTGCTACAGCTTCATTGTTAAAGCTTTAATTTCTTCATCTCTCATCTGTACTTCATTTTGCCCCCAACAGTCTCCTGCCTTCAAACTTGTTTTTTTTTTTTGTTCATCCCTGGAATGATCTTTCTAAAAATACAAATCTGATCACAGAATTCCTCAGTTTAAAAAGTTTTGGCTCTTTGTGTTTTATAGGACAAGATCCAAATTCTTTAATGTGGCATCATTTGGCCTCAACTCACCTCTCCAGCCTCATCTCCTGCCACTCCTTACTTTGTTCTAGCCTGAATAAATTGTTCACAGTTTTTTTAAACAAACTTGTTACTTTTTTTGAGCCTTGAAATCACAAACTGCTTCCTCTACTAGGAATGGTTTTTCTTCTCTGCTCATTGAACTTTCCTGATTTTTAAGATTTAGTTCAGCCTCACTCCTTTTGATGGCATATTTGTCACCTTCACCCAGCACGGGTAGAGGTAACCATGTGTATGTGACATGGGTATTCACTGTTGTAAAGGGGAGTTACAGTGTGATTCTCATTGTGAGTTACAAGGGCTGTGCTGCAGTCATATGAGAGCATTCCCTGTAAGAAGCAGAGGTCGTACTGGGGAGAGGTGAAACTGGGGAGAGGTGAAGTAGTGAGTTGGGACTGTACACTGATAGGCCATTTGTCTTATACATGTAGACGGAGGGATAGACAAGTTATGTAAGCTGAGCTCTAGGTTGTTAGGCTTCTTTGAAGTAGTCGTACCCCATCCCCCGATTTCTATTTCTATGAGGTTTTAATCCAGTTTTTCTGCTTTCACTACTTAGGGTCACAGCCCATCCATACTTCTTATATCAATAGCAGTCATCTTGTTTAGGAAGAGAAGCCTTAGGATTTTACTGACCTGCTCTTAGAAGGTCATTCTGATCCCTTTCTGTCTGTTGTAGGTATTGGCAGGTGTATCCCTACCCCCACCTCCCCTTTTTTCTTTGCTTCTCCTAGGGCAAAGGTTCAGAAGTGAGACTGAGCCACTTCCTGCCTTGTGGTTACTGTTCCAAGGTTGGTGAACACTGGCTGAGTGTGCCTGTGAGGCTGTATTTTGGGCTCTAGGTGAGTGCCTAATCTTGGCTTTTTGTGGGTCTGAAACATCATCTCCTCCTTCACTTTTTTTCCCCCGTGGCTGGAGCCTGAAGGTAAATCTGTAAAGGGGGTGGGGGGGTCCCCCTTTTTCCTAGCCTTTGCTATGGGAGAAAGAGGCACAGTAATAGGGTGGGGATTCCATAATCTTTTTTTGTCTTGTTCTGAACTTGACCGAGTTAACAGGGAGTGAGGAAGTCTAACTAGGTGAGGAGGGGTACCAGACCATGATTTCTTATATTTCTGTAGTACGTGAACAGATTAAGTGTCAGCTTTTAGGTTCTGAGACACTGATTCCAGCCTGCCTCTTGTCCTTGGGTTCTTTGTAAAGAGAGGGGGTGGGGGTGAGGAAAGGTACTGGGGGCTAGTCCCCCTTGGGTCTGTGAGCAGTGCCCTTTGGTGGTTAACCAGTGGAACAGAAGGGGGCACCCAGGTACATTGCAGTGCAGGTTGGTTAATCTTTGGAACTGAGTTCTAGTAGCTGGAGGCAGTTTAGTTTTGGACACTTTTAACGCCTTGCTTTGCTGAGATTGGATACTTGGCCTTCCTTCAGCTGACTGGGGTGTGAGTGTGAGGTGGTGAGGAGTGACATGTTAGGGCAGGTTACATCTTTCCTCTCAGTCAGAGGTGAGGGAATCTCAGTCAAACAGGATCAGGATTGGGAAGTGGGGAAAGGTAAATGTCATTTGTGGAGCACTGGCCTTTATGCCTGGAGTGGGACATAGGTTATCTTATTTAATTCCTAAAACAGTAACAATACTTATTTCATCAGAAATTTATAGATAAGGGAACTGAGAGGCTCCAGTGTGTGAAGTGATTATTTAAGGTCTTATAGCTGGAAAGTGGTGGACTGAGATTCAAGCCTTTGAGGGACTCCAGAACTCATGCTTTACCTACTTCTTTGTGTTTCTCCTGCTTGACCATAGGGTGTCTATTTATTTTCAGTCCTCAAATGAGATGTGATTGAGAAAGTGGTCTGTAAACAACAATACTGTTGTCTCAGTCAGGGTCTTTGCAGGTAACAAACAGATGGCATAGATTGAGTATGGGACAATTTAATAAAGGGTTGATGTTTACAGAGGTATGGGCAGAGTTTAAGGACTCCAACAGGGATGATCCAGTATCTCAGGGCTAATAACAGTGAGTGGGCTAGTAAGGTTGGTAACATGAGACTTCTTACCAAGATTTTCAGCTATTGGCTTTGCCTTCTTCATCCCATGCCTACTTGGGACTGTAAGTATTTGGGCAGATGATGGGTAAGTACCTTTTCTGGTGTATTCCTGCTGCTGATAGTAGTTTGAGTAACTGTTTTTGATGGTTTATAGGGAACCATGTGTGAAAGACAGAGCTTCCATTCTTTGGCTCTGTCACCTTCTCACCCCTTCTCATTTTCCCCAGCCCCCACTGTCTTGGGTGAATGATAGATGGAAGGTTGGCTGGGGGTGGTAGTGGTAGATATTTGCTTCCCCCTTTCAGATTTGGGATTAACCTGAAGTGGCACCTATCCTTCATTTATTTCTGTTGACCTCCTTTCTTAGAGAAAGTGGGATACCTCTTTTTCTCTGACTAATCCTGTACCTTATTTTTTGTCAGTTATTCCCATCTTATTTACCCATCACCTGTTATTTTTTTCAGATTTCTTTTCCTAACTTGACAAATACCTTTGAGGCTCCCCATTCTACAACCAGACCAAACCAAATAAAAATTCTCTGGACTCCCCACCACCCCTCTCAGCTTTTTTGAACTGTTGCCCTCTATTCCTCATTCTCTATATTATGGAATTTCCTGAAATTGTATCTTACTCATCTTTGGCTTGTAGTCATTCTTTAACCAGTTACTTTGCTAAGGTTATCTAAAACTTGATTGCTAAAACCAATTTATCATTTTCTGTCTTTGTACTCCTTAATCTCTCTGTAAACTATACACTGTGGGAACCTTCAGTTTCTTGAAACATTTTTCCCCTTGATTTCTAGATTACCACTGTTTCTTGGATTTCTCCTTCCATTTATGGCTGACTTCATAGTTTTCTTTGAGCCCTCTTCCTTTGTTTTTCTAAATCCTGGTTTTCCCAAGGATGTCACCCTCAGCTCTTTTTATGATCTGATCTCTGGATGATTCCATCCACTTTCATAGCTTTGTCTGCCAAACTGATGACTCCTGGATTTATATCTCTAGTTTTGATTTCACTCTTGACCTCAAATATAATATTTTTACTTATTTTCTGGACATCATGGATATTCTGTATGTGTGTCAAAACTTTAACATGTCTATAACTGTACTCATTCTCTTTTCTGAAACACAGTTCCCTTTGTTATTTGTTCCTGGTCTGTTAATGCATTATGTTTTACTGAGTCTCCTATACTTCATATTAGGGTCTTCTCTTATCCTCCATTCATTTACCGTGTCTTGTTGCTTCTATTTCATGAGTAAGTTAAATCTGGAGGCAGATTTTCTGCATATGCATCCCAGTTGCGCTTATTGGCTAGCTAGCTTTGGTAGTTTATTTAACCTTTCTAGGCTTCCTCATGTGTAAAATGGAGGTAATAGTATATCTGGTGTTTTTATGAAGTTTAAGTGAGTTATTATATGTAGTGCTTAGAATAGAGTCTGGCACATAATAAGTACTCAATATATGTTAGGTGTTATAATTATTTTAAAGTCATCATTCAGTTCCACAGGCATATTTGAATGCCAGGCACTGTGTTTCCACTGACCTTCAAAGAAGAATGAATGATACGGTCAGTTTGTTAAGGAACTTGCTATTAATGGCAGAGATATTAGAGATATAAATAATTTCAGTGTGGGACATGCTAAGATAGAGGTGAATCTCAGATTTACCTTTTCTTTTCTAATCTTGACCATACCAGCTTAATTTATACTGTCTTTAAAAAAAAAAAGATTGTTGAAACAGACGCTTATAAACTGTCCATTGCCATCTGTTTCTCTGCTCCACCTTATACTGCTATTCGACATATTTTTAAAGGCAAATTTGATCTTGTCATTTCCTTGTTTAACAACCTTTGTCTCCAGGGTGTCCATAGATAAAACCCAAGCTCCTTAGCATGGTATTCAGTGATATTATAACGTTCACCCATATTTACTCTTCAACTCAGTATTATATCTTTCTTCTCTATATAGTCTGTAAGCCACACCAAATTTGCAACTGTTCTTCCGATTTGTCATGCTCTTTCATAGTGCCATAGTTTTGTACATACCGTTTTCAGTATGAACAAGGCCTTTCCTTTTGCTCTCTTTGTTGCCTGTATCTATCATTGAAGATTTAAGTCAGATACAACCTTTCTGAAATCCTCATATAACCTCCCAGGCAGAATTAGTTGCTTTCTTTCATGCCCCCATGCTTATAAATACCGTATTTCTTGGGCTATCAGATGCACGTTTCTCCCTCCTTCTTACCCACACATAAATTTGAAAGGAAAATAGGGGTGTGTCTTACAGTCCAAATGTAGCTTTACATTTACATTGGTAAAATATTATGTTATTTATATTATTAAATATTTTACCACATTTTTTGCTTCAAAAATTTGTTTCCTATTTTCCTCAAAAACCTAGGTGTGTCCTGTGGTCTGAAAAATACGGTGCTTGTGTTTATAATATTTACTAGAATTTTTTAAATGCTTCCCAGCAGTTTTTATTCATCTCCATGTTTCTAGTGCTTATGTGTAGCAAAGTGCCCAGTACTTTGTCAGTGAGTCCTGTCTGCTATTTAGGACTGGTTCCACTCTTTATAAGACTGTCTCCTGTCCTATAGAGGGTTTCATTAAGCACAGTTGCTATATTCCTTTGGTTGTGAGCTGGTAGTGATGAGGGAGAGTATCTGGGTTGAAGGGGATGGCAGTGTGGGGCTATTGCCAGGTCCCTGGGTTTCTTCAGCTCTTGTTGAGTATAAAGAGGAAGGACAACTAAACCACACCTTTCCTCTGAAGTTTTTGCTTTTATGAGAGACAATATTGCTGAGGGGTGTGGTGGGTGTGAAAGACGAGGAACTGTGAGCCAACAGCTCTTTTGGTACTTTTCCCCTTTCTTTAGTGAGGGTGTCATGTCATGTCCCCAGGAGTGAGTATGGGTGTCTGACAGGAGAGGGGAATATGTGTGTACATAGGAGTGTGTCCATTGTTCTATTCTTTTATTGGTTCTGCATTTCTACCTTTAAAGAGTATTCAGACAATTCAGACAATTAAGGTCTGTTTGCCCATTTCCTGCTGGGCAGGTTTCTAAGGAGGGAATTGTGAATAATAGTGATAGGCAGAATAAAATTTATTCCTCAACAGTACAAGAGGGCTGGAGTCAGATCAGGACTGGGTTTCTTGATTGTTTATTTGTTCATTCATCAGTTTGTTCATTCATTCACTCAATTCACTTAAGTATTCACACATTCAACAAATATTGAATCTTTAGGCACAATGGTAAATAAAACATAAACCATGCTCTCTGTGAACTTACTTTCTAGTGGGGAATATAGACAAATAAATAATTTCAGGTAGTGAAAATTGCTAAGAAGAAAATAGGATTAGGCAGCAAGAGAGTGAAGGTGGGAAGATGTGCTATTTAGATAGAATTGTTGAGTAAGGCCTCTCCTAGGAGATGGCATTTGGAAAGACCTGAGAGATGGGAGTAATGTGAAGATCAGAAGAGCATTCCAGGCCCAGGGAATGGGGAAGTATTCACAAAGGCTTGTGTGTGTGAAGTCTGAGTGAGGAAGAGTATGGTAGCAGGTTACACAGGTTAGATTATATAGGGTTCTGTAGGCAAAGGTAAGGGATTTGGATAATGACTGGTGTGATAGGAAATCATTGGAGGGTATTCAGCAGAAGAGATAGAAAATTTAGGTTTAAAAAATAACACTCTCTGTTTGCTGTGTGAAGAATAGACTCTCAGGGGAGAAGACTGGAAGCATGGATCCCAAATTGGAAGCTGTTACAATAGTGAGACCTGTTTTGAGGGTAGAGATGATAAGAGTTTGCTGGTTAACTGGATATTAGAAGTAAGGAGAAGAAATGAGGATGACATCCAGGAATTTGGCCTGAGTGTGTAGGTGAATGTTGATTATTATGGAGATAGAGAAGGCTGAGGGCATAATAAGTTTAGTGGTAGAAATGAGTTCTGTTTTAGATATGTTAAGTTTAAGCTGCTCATTGTGTGTGTGTGTATTTGTGGAGTTTTCAGTGGACTAGTCGTTCTGAGTTCTTTCTGCTGGGTAGTGGAGAGTGGCAAACTTCTGTTGACCTCTTCCGTTCTCTCTTTTTGAAGTAGATTTGCAAGTCTGGACTGGTCAGTAACCTCTGGGCTTGCCACTCCAGCCTGGGTGTCTTCTGGCTCCATGGACAGCTGCTGGCTCCTACAGACCGGATGAAGCTGACTGGAAACACAAGTGGAGAAGGCCTCCAGCTGGCGAAGTCTCAGAGTGTGGTCCTCTGGTTGCTGGCCCTGCCCAGCCTTCCTCATGGAAAGGATGAACTGGCTGAGCCGACTGGCCTCTCGGGGCCCTGGGCACCGTGTAACTCAAGGGGCCAATCTGCAGACCCCTGTCATGGCTGACCCTGAGACTTGTCTTATGGTCTTCAAGAATCACTGGTCCCAGGTAGGGGACTATATGCCAAAAGGCCTAGTCTGCTGGCTTCCTGAGTCCTCCTAACCTCTGCATTCTGTCATTGTCCCATTTAATCACTGTAGTCATCTTAGATTCCTTCTTTCTTCTGTCCTGTTGTCCAGGTGGTACGAATCTTGGAGCGGCAAGGCCCCCGGGTAGCTCCTGGGGGTGCAGATGATCTCAGTGCCGTGTGCAACCATACTTACCAGATGTTGACGCTGCTGGCAGAGGATCGTGCAGTCCCTTCAGCCCCCACTGCCCCTGGGCCCCTTCTGGAGTTTGCTCTGCGCGAGGATCTGCTAACTCGTGTGTTGGCATGGCAACTTCAGTGGGATGGGCTTGGGGATGGGGTTGAAGAACGGCGGGCTGAGCAACTGAAACTATTTGAGATGCTGGTGAGCGAAGCTCGCCAGCCACTGTTGCGCCATGGTCCAGTTCGTGAGGCTCTGCTGACCTTGCTGGATGCCTGTGGCCACCCTGTGCCCAGTAGTCCAGCACTGGATGAAGGCCTGGTGCTACTTCTCAGCCAGCTGTGTGTTTGTCTGGCCCGGGAGCCTTCATTGCTTGAGTTCTTCCTGCAGCCACCTCCTGAGCCTGGAGCTGCTCCCCGTCTCCTCCTCTTTTCTCTCCTTGTTCCCTTCGTCCATCGAGAGGGCACCCTGGGTCAGCAGGCCCGTGATGCCCTACTCCTGCTTATGGCTCTGTCAGCTGGGAGCCCCACCGTGGGCCGCTACATTGCAGATCACTCTTACTTCTGCCCGGTTAGCACCCCTTGGAATGTGGGGGAGGTAGGGTATGGTGTGTGGGCATTGGACAGGGGATCGAGAGGGTCTCTGTATCAGGGCTCTTTCCTCAGAAACTAGCCCCATGGGTTTGAAAGCAGTGCCTGGAGGTGGGATGGGGATGAAACATGGGCTTAGGTGGATAGACCAAATACTAAGCTTCTTCATGGGCCAAAGTTCCTGGATGACTGAAACATTGGGTAATTAAATACCTGCTCTGGTAATAGCTCTTCCCCTACTCCAATCAAAACTCTAGTAGCTCCCCTGTTCCTCTCTTTTATATTGTCTGAGCCTTTATAACCTATCTTTGGGGATGGCCAACAGGTGCTGGCCACAGGGCTGAGTGCCCTGTACTCCTCACTGCCCCGAAAGATTGAAGTTCCAGGGGATGATTGGCACTGCCTGCGACGGGAGGACTGGCTGGGAGTGCCAGCCCTTGCGCTCTTCATGAGTTCCCTAGAGTTCTGCAATGCAGTCATTCAGGTGGGACTGGGGTTCCCAATTGGTCTAGCCTGGGCACATGGTGTGGGAGGGGGTGCATTTTCTGGAGTTCTGCTCTTCTGTCATCTTGGGGGTAGGGTGCCTACTTGTACCATTCTGCTTTTGTTCAGACAGTTGTTCCCCTCAATCCTCCTGCCTCCTTCTTGCACCCTTACAGGTGGCTCACCCTCTGGTGCAGAAGCAACTGGTTGATTATATCCATAATGGGTTCCTGGTGCCTGTCATGGGCCCTGCCCTGCACAAGGTGAGAGTCATGGGTACCAAGACAGAATAGGGGAATAGGCCAACAGGTGGCAACTTCAATGTCAAGGCCAATATGGGAAACAGTGGCCTAGGTACTCCTTCCTTCTTTCCCTATATGCTCCTGGTTTCTCCTTAAAACTCAGGGAAAACAGCTCAGTGTATGTTCAGGGAAACCCTAAATTTCCAAACTTTCCCTTCCCTTTGTCCAGACCTCTGTGGAGGAGATGATCGCCAGTACCGCCTATCTGGAACTTTTCCTACGCAGTATCTCAGAGCCTGCCTTGCTCCGTACTTTCCTGCGATTCCTGCTGTTACACCGGCATGACACCCACACCATCCTTGACACCCTCGTTGCCCGTATTGGCAGCAACTCTCGGGTATGACCTTTACCTCTGTCCTGGCTTAGAGCCATCTTCTCTCCCTGACCTTTGTTCTGGAATGGTGTTCCTGCCCTTCTTTGACTGTTGTCTCCAGCAATTGACTTTAAAGTTGACAGCATTTACTTTCTAGTTATCTAACTTTTAACCATTTTGGGTACAGATTTTAATCTATTCCCCTGCTTTTGTAGTTTGTAACTCTAGAACACAGTTTCCTTTTGTGGATGACTGTGGCTGCTCATTATGGCTGTAGGTTTTGACATTGTGCTACACTTGCGATGTAGCATTGATATGAGGTTCTTTTTAGCTCTGTAGTGCTCTGTGGCCTGTTGCGGGTGACTCAGGATCACTTTTTTAGGTTTTGTGTCTGCTTTGATAGCTGACCCAGCTCCCGCTGGTATGCTTACCTTTTTTCCCCTTTTGGATTTGCTGCATTTGAACTGCTATATCTTGGGGCACCCATCTACCTACCTACTTACATTCCTTCTTGAACATTTCTGTCGACTGTTTACTATGTGCCATAATGTTCTCTAGTACTCAGTATATAATGGTAAACAAGGTAGGCATGGTTGATGACTTCATGAAGCCTTCTGTATAGCTTAATTATGTTGGCCTGACTTTGTAACTTCCAGAGCCTCTTTTGCAACTTAAATAAATCATACTGACTAGCCAGTCTCTGTGCCTGACTATTTGTGTTAGTTTCCTGTTGTAATAACAGATTACCCAAACATAGTGACTTAAATCAACACAAATTTATTATCCTTATTAGCAAACACGTTACTAAAATAATTGAAAATTGTGGTCATTGTAGTGAAAAACCAAACATAGTAGAAAAACAAACAACCTCTCTGAGGAGTGACATCGAGTTGAGACTTAAAGGTCATGAGGGAGTTAGCTTATTGAAGAGCAAGTGGAAGAACAGTCTAGCCAGATGGAGCAGCATGTAAAAGTCAACAAATAGGGAGGACCTTAATGTATTTGAGGAAGTGAAAGACCAGTGTGACAGGAGGTGTAGTGAGTGAGGGGAGAAGGAAATTGGATGAAAGTAGAGAAGTTGGAAGGGTTCAGATCATGCCTGGCCTTGTAGACCATGGTAAGAACTTTGGATTTCAATGATCAGAAATACATATAAAATAGGAGTAAATAGTTTCCATATAATAAGGACCTGAAGTATTTCTGGGGGAACAAAGCATTAATTTAGCCATGGACTTCCTAGCATTTATTTTGGCTCTGGAACCATTTGTGTTTCCTTCTTTTATTACAAATAATTGGAGTTTCATAGGTCCTTGTGTTTAAAACAGAAGTTCTTAGATCACTAAGTGTTCTAGAAAACTGTTCTACATAATCGGGGTACTTGGTAGTAGGTTCCAGGTAGGTGAGGTTCCCAGATGTGTTTTGTATAGGTGAGATTTCCGAATAGCTAAGTTAGGGTATATATATGTGAGATACTCTAGTCTCTGATCAGACAAGTGTTTCTGAATCAAGATGTACACTTTCAAATTTGAAAGTGACAATGACTATAGAAACAGATTCTAAGCTCTTCCTTAGATCTCGAGTTATAATCTTTGGGAGTAGGCCTATGACATGTATATTTTAAAAAATGTTTCAGAAAGTTATTATGATACATGTCTTGGTTAAGAATTTTTGATTTAAACCAATAGAGAATAGATGTGAAAGCTTGAATTTTACAAAGATATAAGACAATTTTATTTCTCATTATGTTGACATTAGACCATGGTCTTATATCTGTTTGACCTCAAGGAATGCCTGTTTATGTTTCAGGACAGTTGAAAGTTGGTTTCCTTCTAGGGGTTGATTTTCTTTTTTCTGTTCTGGCCTCTATCCATCTTGCTTCTGTCTTAATCTTATCCTCACTTCTTTGATTCTCCCTCATTGACTTTAGTCTTTAACATATATTACTGTCAGTGTCGCATTTGGTCCCCTGGTCTCAGGAGCCTTTTATGTTCTTGGGGTATTTCTTCTTGGTTCCTGGCTCTTGGAGGAACCACATCTCTTCTGATTTCAGGATGCCATGCTGATCATGCAGATGCTTTCCTTCCCACTGTGTTGCCTTTTTAAGCTTGATTATGTTGGCCTGACTTTTCAACTTTTATAGCCTCTTTTGTGACTTAAGTAAATCATACTGACTAGCCAGTCTGTGTGCCTATTTGTGTTAGTTTCCTGTTGCTGTAATAATAAAAGATAACCACAAACATAGTGACTTAAACCAACACAAATTTATTACCTTACAGTTCTGTAGGTCATATGTCTGACACGATCTCTGTGGGCTAAGATGAGTGTTGGTGGGGCTGTTTTCCTTTTTGGAGGCTCTGGGAGAGAAGATCCATTTCCTCGTTCGTGCAGGTTTTGGCAGAATTTATTTCATTGTTAGTTACAGGACTGAGATTCTCATTTTTTTTTGCTGGCTGTCAGTCGAGGACCATTCCTAGCTTCTAAAGGCCAACCAATTTCTGATTTATGGCCCCCTTCTATCTTCAAAGCCATCAGTGGTGGACTGAGTCCTTCTCATGATTAAAATCTCTCTTCCTTTTTTTGACCTTGCTGGAAAAGGTTGTTTTTAAATTTTTTAATTTATTTATTTTTAGAGAGCAGAAGGGAAGGAGAAAGAGAGGGAGAGTAACATCAATGTGTGGTTGACCCCCCGACTGGTCCCCAGCCCACAACCCAGGCATGTGCCCTGACTGGGACTCAAACTTGTGATCCTTTGGTTCAAAGGCCATTGCTCAGTCCACTGAGCTACACCAGCTAGGGCTGGAAAAGGTTCTTTGCTTTTAAGAACTCTTGTAATTTGGTTGGGCCCACCTATGATAAGCCAGGATTGTCTTTCCATGTCAAATTCCTTAGCCTTAATCATATCTTCAAAGTCCCTTCTGCCATGTAAGGTAAAATTTATAGGTTCTGGACATCTTGGTGGGGGGGGGGCATTTACTTTCCATTGAATCTGAGTGTTTTCATTGCTAGTTAAAATGGTCATTTAGAGTAAACCTCCTTAACATCTATGTTCTCTAAAATGTGAACTACTGTCTCATCTGTTTCTTACTATCGCTGGCTTTTAATTATTAGTTAGTAAATGTTGAGCACCTAGACTGTGTAGGTGGTGCCCTAGACTAAGACCCAAAAGTTGTCTTCAGGGAGCTCAAGGTGTCTGATATACTTTCCCTAAGGGGAGCTTGTAGAATGTGCTGTGGGGATTCAGAAGAGTGAGGGAGAGCTTACACATGTCTGTTCTCTTTGCCTATCCAGGGGCTAACCACCTGTATTCCTTTTCTAAAACAAAAGGTTTCTCCTATTGTGGACCCACCTATTTTTTCCTTTTCCTGTCAGCTGCCCTTGAGCTTTCTTTATCCTGCCTTCTGAGAGATAACACTGGTGTTGGTGAAGTGACTCAGACTCCTGTTCACAGACCCGCCCACTTCCCAGCTGGTATTCTTCCGGGTTCCCTGTCTCCCAGGTTCCCACGTTGGTAGGCATTCTCTTACGGTGCTGCTACAGTCTCTCATGACAGGCATTTACCTATTTATCATGTAGCTGTTGTCTCCCATCATTTATTCAGTCCTAGCATTTCCTTGGGTCTCTTTTCATGGATATTCATTGCATTTAAGTATTGCTGGAATCTCTGTTGACCAGTGAATATAGCTAGAGAGTCTGCTGATGTGTATGGTCTATAGAAATACATCGAATTTGATACATGGTGCATTCCTCTATTAACAGTAAAGTCTTGCCCACAAACATGTGATCATTTATTGAATGGTTATTATGTGCTAGGCCTTGTGCATACTTAGGAGTGGTTGGTTGGGCCTGGGGCTGGGGGGGTTTCCCATTTGGTAAACATCTTGGAGGGTAGAGTGCTCTTAGGGTGACTCCCTCCTGCCTCCCCCCACCAGCTCTGCATGGTCTCTCTGAGTCTCTTCAGGACCCTACTGAACCTCAGCTGTGAGGATGTCCTGCTGCAGCTGGTTCTCAGGTACCTGTGGGGGCAGGGCTGAGGGGTGGCGGATCATCAATCCTCAGGGCCTTGTGATTGATTGCTGGGGTGATGGATTGTATTGGGTTGCTCATATGTTTCTTATTGGAACCAGTTCCATTGGCCTGATGTTCCCCTAGACGCTGTCCCTCCTTCCTGATTCAGCATGTGTCTTTTTTCTGCTGTATTTCCCAGGTATCTTGTCCCATGTAACCATGTGATGCTGAGCCAGAAGCCAGCTGTGCGTGATGTGGATCTATATGGACGAGCAGCAGACAAGTTTCTCTCCCTAATCCCACGCTGTTGTCGGCACCGTGCCCCCAGCCCACCCCGTCCAGAGCATGCCTCGTGGGCACGAGGTGGGCTTAGCAGAGAGTCAGGGAGAAGGGAGGATACCAGGGGTATGGCATGGATTCTGGGGCAGTCTAATAGGAAGGGGTGGGGGGGGATAGCAGTGGTCATGAGTGGCATTCTATCTTTGCAGAAATCATGAGGGGTCTTCTGAGATGGATCCTTAACTCCACCAAAGAAATTTAGCTTCTGAGCAAAGTAGTTCTTCTCTAATCCAGTCTTTTTCCTTTGTTTTTCCATTGTTTCTTTGGTGCTGGTGGTGGTGAGATGGGGTGGTGGTTGAGGAAAAGCTTCATTTGCAGGATGGGGAGTCTGTTCAGCTGCCTCATTGCCTTCTCTCTCAGTTTTGCTATGTGTCTTATCCCTCCTCGTGGACCTCTGTTTCTTTGATCCCACTTATGCTTTTCTCCCATCTGCAGGCCCTGGAAGCCCAAGTGTTGACTCCTCTTCTGTGGTGACAGTATCCCGGCCCTCCACACCATCTCGTCTGGCTCTCTTCCTGCGACAGCAGAGTTTAGGTGGCTCTGAGTCCCCAGCCCCAGCTCCTCGCTCACCAGGGCTTGCTGCATCCCCAGCCTCCAGCCCTAGTCGACGGCCCAGCCCTGCAGAGGAGCCTGGTGAGCTGGAAGACAATTACCTGGAGTATCTGCGTGAGGCGCGCCGTGGTGTGGACCGCTGTGTCCGAGCCTGCCGTACCTGGTCTGCTCCCTATGATGGCGAGCGGCCCCCTCCTGAGCCCAGTCCTGTTGGCTCCCGGACTAAGAAACGCAGCCTACTGCCTGAGGAGGACAGGGACAATGTGGGGGAAGGGGAGGAGGAGGAGCTGGGGAGTGGTGGGCTGGCTGGGCGTGCAGGGGAGGGCCCTGGCCACCTGCCTCCTCCTCAGCTCAATGGGATGCTAGGACCATGGCCTGAGGGGGCCAAGAAAGTTCGTCGGGTGCCACAGGAGGGAGCTGGGGAACTGCTAGAGGGCACCCCTGAGGGCATGGCAGGACTAGAAGGCTTTGGGCAGGAACTCCGGGATCTGGAGCTGGCATTGAGCAATGGGGGGGCTGGCTCAGAGTCTCCCCTAGAGCCTCCACTACCTCTTGAGGAGGAGGAGGCCTATGAGAGCTTCACCTGTCCCCCTGAGCCCCCTGGCCCCTTCCTCAGCAGCCCTTTGCGGACTCTCAACCAGCTGCCAAGCCAGCCCTTCACTGGTAAGCTACTTACCCTAGGCCTTTTCCTTTGTGTACTCTTTGCATGTTTTCAACATTGTTTGTGCTGGTTTCTGAGACTTGTTGGCCATGTCATTTCTGTGCACTTGCCTAGCTCCTCATCCATTTTGCTTGGGTTCCTTCCAGATACATACCATGTCGTACTTGTGTCTCTGTGTCCATCTTCCATGCTTGTGCCTTTTTGAGTGTTGAATTATGTTTGAGCTGTGTATGTCCATTTTATGAGCATGTTCCTCCTCTTCCCCGCTCTGGCCACTTCCTGGGATTTGTGATCAAGTTTTCCTCTGTTTGGTGTTTCCTTGTGAATCATAGCAATATATCTGAACCATGTGGAAGACATACCTTCTGACCTGTGTATGAGGCACCTGTCTGTAAACCGTGCTGTTCCCACCAGTTACCTGGCTGGGTCTTAGCTGTCCTGTCAGCTCTTCTGTGACCCAGAATCAGCTCTTCTGGTGTTCTTCCACTACTCAGCCCTGGCCTCTTTTCTCCCATCCTCCTCACAGATGGACTCAATTTCAAGTTTTTCCTCTTCCCTGTCTTGTATCTTGTTGGTTGCCATGGCTGTCCAGTAAAACATTTTAAAGGATTTGTGGTTAATAGTAAAGGAGTAGACAGAGTGAAATACTTTAGGGCAAATGGCAAAGTGTGGCCCTGAGCTCATCAGCTGAGTTCTTTTGGTCTTTTCAGGAGGCCCTTGGAGCTAGACCTGATCTGAGTGGCTGGGCTAACTCTTCTTTTGTTTGTTTGTTTGTTTGAGAGACACTTCTATCCAGCCCAGCCCTCAGGTGGTTCTTGTTCTTATTCCACACCCTGTGTGAGGGTGAAGAAAAATGAACAAAAATACTACCTATGGGAAGGAGTGTAGTGCTTTGCACTAGGCCTACCTTGAGTTAAGATCCCATCTGTGCCACTGATGCATGTAAATCACTTACCACAGTGCTGGTACATTGTGAGAACTCAGCACATGGTAGCTTTTTCTGAGGATTATCATCTCTTGAGTGCGTGGCAGATACTAGTTGACCAAGGCAACCACCTACCTCTCTGGTTGTTTGTAGTCAAGTTGTCATGCCTTGATCAGTACTGTTCTAACTGGGTCTGGGATTTGCTGCCATCCTGCTTGCACAGTGTTAGGGATTCTGCTCTGGAGTCCTGATGACTCCCTCATGCAGACTACAGAAAATATATCTCTTCATTTATTTGTTTTGTGTTTGCTTTGCCCCTTCCCACTCAGTACCACTAGAAGATGATGTGCAGGTTTTACCACGTTTTTGAGGCATTAATTGAAGCTCTGTCCTTTTACTTCTTTTTAGACTCATCTGAGCTCTTTGAATTTTCTCTTATTAGAAAAGTGCCAGGAAATGAGAGGAACAGAAAGACAAAGTTATGAGGTATATTAGGACCCTGTTAACCTAGACTTGTTTTGGAACTAAGGCTAGTTGTGTGCATCTGGATTGGAGAATATTCTAGAATCTTTTCCAGGATTCACTGCTTCTTGTTCTTCATTGTTCTCCTGTCCCAGTTCATAGGGAAGTTCTTAGGTACACTTCCTTTCCCCCATAGATCCCTGATCGGACAGACTGTGATGGTCTGGGGTGCTAGTGCTGGGGCGCTGGCCTTTCTGACACCAGTTCTCCCAGTGGATTGTTCTAATCCCTTCTGTTATCATCTCCCCCACCACAGGGTCTGCTCCGAATTGGTTTTCTCTGGCTCTGAACTAAGCTCTTTTCCCCCCTACAGATTCTCTCCTCCACCTTCTTGATTTCCAGCTCCTGAACAGAGCCGTTGTCTTCTTTGGTTCTCCAAAGGTTTCTCTCTGGACTTTAAGTTGGTCCATATAGTCACCTTCTTTGCCTTTGTTACTTTTTTTTTTTTTGCTTTCTTCTTGACCCAAATCTAATGTTATCCTCTGTTTTGCGTGTAACCTGATTTACCTTTTGGTCCTAATCACTGTCTCACTTGTTCTTTCTTCTGTTGTGTCTCTTGGATGAAGCTTTTTAAAAAACAAAACTGGAAAATATTATGTAGCTTATAGTTATTATTGAATACTTATAATTTGCTAGATTTTGGGCTAAATGTTTTATGTTCTTCTCTCTTTCATCCTCTTAATAACCTTATAAGGTGGGTATATTTTCTTATTTTACTAGGTAGGAAATTATGCTTGGAGAATTTTGGTTCATCCAATAACTAGTAAAGGGTAAAGCTGAAATTTGAAACCAGGTCAGACTCCAGAGCCTATGATCTGGCTCTTCAGCTCAAGTGTGTGTAATGTTAGTATCTGGACTCTTCTTGTGGGTCCATGTGGTGCTTGCCATTTTATCTTCTCCAGAGTAGGTGGTCACAGGATATTTAAACATACCCAGACGCTTGACATACAAATAATTTATATCTGTTGAGGGTGGGGGTCTCTTATTTTTGGAAGAAGTGCGATGTGCATTGTGTTCAGGTCTTGTATCCTTGTGCCCACCTCCCCCAGGCCCCTTCATGGCTGTGCTCTTTGCCAAACTCGAGAACATGCTGCAGAACTCCGTCTATGTCAACTTCCTGCTGACAGGGCTGGTGGCCCAGCTGGCCTGTCACCCCCAGCCCCTGCTCCGCTCTTTCCTGCTCAACACCAATATGGTCTTCCAGCCCAGTGTCAAGTCCCTGCTGCAGGTGTGCGATGCATGCATGCATGGGTGCGTCCAGGGTCCATGGTGGGCCAGGCCCGCAGCTGGACTGACTGTTGGGGGCTGGGAACAGGCCCAGTGGGACTAGAAAGGACTGTGTCAGTTCAGAACTACCCAGAAATGTCATGAAATTGTGCTTCCTAGGTGTTGGGCTCTGTGAAGAATAAGATTGAGAGTTTTGCAGCCTCCCAGGAGGACTTCCCAGCATTGCTCTCTAAAGCCAAGAAGTACCTCATTGCTCGTGGCAAGTTGGACTGGGCTGAGGGCCCTGCAGCTGGACCTGTTCCTCGCCGCTCTGATCCTCTCGGTGAGGCCTACTCCACCCCCTCTCCTGACCCTCCCTACATAGTTAATTAGCCTAGATTAACTAAACACTTATTAAGGGTGAAGCCTTGTACTGGGTACTGGGAACTTGAGTGTTGGTGTTTGTTCTCTGGCTCTGGTCAGAACATGATATACTTCTGTCTACCAAGAGCCAAATCAGCAGAACTGCTTTAATGGTTGGAGACAGGCAAGAGGACAGTGTGTAGTCTCTAGGCTAGATATTGTTACAGCTTGGTAAAGGACATGGCATTTGACATGGACCTTGATAGATGGGTAGGACTTGGATAGGTAAAGGCATGGGATGGCCTTATTCTTTTGTTTAGGAGACAGCATGAACTATTTAGTTGGAGCAGGGGATTTGGAAGGTGGTGGCACACTTAGTTGGTAGTAAGGCTGGAAAGATTTGACCAGAGCAGAAGGTTCTCAGAATAGTATTTGGGCTGGGTAGTTGTGATCGTTTAGGCAGTGAGAACCTATTGGAGGTTCTTAGATCTGGGAGTACAGAGATTAGTATATTCATGTACTAGGTGAATTGGAGCTAAGAAAAAAATGGTTAGGTCAAGCAGTCAGGATGTGACCTTTAAGGCTTGAATTAGAATAGTAGAAATAAAAAGAGTTTGATAAGGTAGAAGTGGGATGGAAGTATTGGCAAAATTTGGTGAGTAGTTGTGGGGTACAAGGAAGGATGAGTTAAATGTTACTGTGAAATTTTAAATCTAGATTTTTCATCAATAAATATCGGAACACTTGCCATATGTGCTATGTATTGTCTTTGGTATAGGAGACTCAGGGAGGTACAAGATGAGATTCCTGCCATCAAAGAGCTGACAGTCTAGAGACTAGAGGAATGTTATAACCCAGGAAGCAAAGTCTCAAAGGTGGTGTGATATCCAGAGCAGCAGGAAAGGATTAACTTTGGATAGGAAAAGATTTTTTTTCCTCCTTTGAGTCAAATGAGGAGAGATCAAAGGAGGAAATGATATGAACAAAAGGGGTTGTGAGGTATGGAAGGGAAGGTTAGGGAATTGAAGTTGTCGTTTGTTAATCAAAGTAGGAGGCACAATAATATGCCAAGAGGGAGAGAGCAAGTGTAAGATAGAGCTTAAGGAAAAAAGTACGTGGGTTGGTAAGAGAGTACCAGAAGGGCTGTTATACAGCTGTGAAGACCCTGTTGAAGTTCCTTAGCATGATTTCCTGATGGTCTAGTACTGTGAATATTTCTTGTTTCCACATTCCTGGTACTGTGTTCTCTGTGAAGGGCCCAGGGATACAAAGGTAAATGATACAGAGCCCAAGCCCTTAAACTCACAGATTAGCACACAATGAGGTAGATGACATGTAAATGAGTTATTGATATAATATGATAAGGGCAGTAAAATGGGAAGTCAGTGGAAGGCAAATCAGGAGATTTTTTTAGAGGTGGGGCTAGTGAAATGAAGCCAAGAATGAAAGCAGTAGAGAACAAAATTAAGACAGAGGGGATTACAGAAGCATGGCAAGAGCTTGGAGCTCCAGAAAGAGCAGATGCAAAAGCAGGGTGGAGTCTAGAGAGTTTTGAGAAGAGGTTGGAGGAGTGTGAGTCTAGTTTTGAAGGGTTCTCAATGCCAAATTTAATAGATCTGACTAGCATCATTCTGTAGTCAGTATCGGAGGTGGAGAATGGGGACCATATCATGGTCTAGACTTGAGACTAGACCCTTACATTGTAGGGTCTAGATATGAATGTAGATCCAGAGCCAGGGATTTAGAGAATTAGAGGAGATAGGTCAATATTTTAAGTGGCTCATTTGAGGCCAAGCTAACATGAAGTTGTCTGGTCACAACTAGTGGGAAGGGGGCTTTGGTGAATATAGGAGAGGGACTGGTAGAAGGTGAAGTTGCACAGGAGAGCAGATCTTGGAGGACGATAGAAATGATAAGAGTGTCTGAAAGATACGAGTACATATATAGCCTCTGTGGGTATTGAAGGAGCAGAGGATGGGGGTCAGGTAATACAGATAGGCAGGGCAAAGGTGGAAGTGGTTGACTCTAATTCAGGAGAGTGGTAGAAAGCATGAAGTAAAGTCATGTTGTGGACTAAGGAGAAATAAGGTTATGGAAGAATAGTGACTGGAAAGAGGGGAGGTAACAGAATCCCTCAGGGTGAAAAGGAAGGGATCTTGGTTGGGAACAAAGTGGCTGAGGTGTTGACTTATTGGGAAGACTGAGGATGGTTTGCTGGGTGTGGAGGCTGGATAGAGGGCAGGGGGCTAGGCAGTCAAGAAGTCCATGCACCTAGAGGGTGGGGACATTTGTCTCTTAGATCAAGGGGCAGTTTGCCAGACCTCCACACCTTCATGATACCCGTTTATTTGCAGTGAAGAGCCGGAGGCCATCCTTGGGAGAGTTGCTTCTGCGGCATGCACACAGTCCAACCAGGGCCCGGCAAGCAGCACAGTTGGTTCATCAGCCTGGGAGAGATGGCACAGGACTTGGCCTAGGTGGGGGCTCCCCTGGGGCTTCAACTCCGGCTCTACCCGCCCGGGGTGGAGCCACTGAGCGCCAAGGTGAGGCTCTGCGAGTCAAGAATGCTGTCTACTGTGCAGTCATTTTCCCTGAGTTTCTCAAGGAGTTGGCTGCCATCTCCCAGGCCCATGCTGTCACCTCACCTTTCTTGTTGGATACTTCAGAGGAGGGAAATATCCTTCCTGTCTCAGACTTTGGGCCCCTCAATTCTTAACTTTCTTCCATGCACAATCAGGGCCTTGAGTGGCCTGGGTTGGAGCCAGGGTGTAGGCTCCTTTTTATGTTTGGAGGGAGTGGCAAGAGGACTTTTTAATTTATTTCAGATGAATGTTTTATGGAGAACTTGTTGCAATATGTATAAAAGGGAAATCTCTATTCTGTGTTCATTCTTCTTTCCCACCCTTTTTCTATGGGGCTGGGCCTCAAAAAGATTGTACGCAGATGGGAAGGTGGTCAGGAATATTTCTGATGAGAACGTTAATGCCAAGGTTTCAAGGTATTCTAGGCTGGCACGCAATCCACTGAGCCAAACCAGCTAGGGCCGTCAAGGTTATTCCTTATTTCCTTAGCGGGTGAGGGAACACAAAGCCTAGGGAAAAAAGCAGAGACTCTCTCCCTTGTCTAAGCCCCAGAAGGAAGAAGCAGTAGGGGCCCAGGATGGTTTGGGGGAGCAGCAGCTGATGTTTATTGGGGACCAGTATCCCTATGCCAGGTCTTGGGGGCCTTGCCCCCTGCATTTCTCGCTGCAGCTTCAGTCGTCGCTGTCGAACTCCGAGGACAGACCCTGCAGCAGGGGCAGGGACATGGAGTGCCGGTCGGGGTCCCCGGGGCCCCCACCCTGGGCTCCTGGTGGGGGGCTGCGGGGGCTGAAGAGCCAGTTTTCTGCCAGGGTTGGGGATAGTCACAGATTGACTCATGCCCTGGACTTTTTGCCTCCCTGTTCCCTCCCTGTGGTGTTCTGTGCTGTGCCCACCCCCACACCAAGACCATACTTCCATTTCATTGTCCCCTGGCTCCCTCCATCCCCCTCACCAGGGTTATGGGTGTCTCACATATTCCTAAGCTATATTCCTCATGGTTTCTCCCTCCACCTTGCATGGTCTCCCTCCAATGCATGCCCCATTCGTTTCATCTTCATTTTCCCCAGTAGTACCTGACAGCATCTGGGGTCCCCTTCGGAATGGGTTTCGGCCCTTGTAGGAGACTCTGGTGAGTCTGCCCTCTGGCCCTTCCTGAGGAGGTGGTGTAGAAGGGGCTGGGACAGGTGGGGGCACATCAGCAGCTTCAGGGATGTTGTCAGGGACTGATGGGGGTGCCAGAGGTGGCATGATGTTGAGATTGGGTCTGACCCAGTTAGTCCCATGGAGCAGTGGGTTTTTGGCCAGGGCCTTTTGTGGTCCTAGCACTCCCTTGGGATGCAGTGAAAACTTGAGGCATGAGAAGGCTATAGGCAGTGACCGTTGTAACCGGAACATCTGGGGCTCATGGCCTGTAGGCCATAGCCCCAGCTGCATCCAGGAACAGGAGAAGACCTGGTAGATGACGTAGATGCTGTGGGTGCTTCGGAGCCAGGGAAGAGTCTTCTGTAAGCTCACCTGCCCTGGTGGCAGCAACAGGAAGGCCACCTTCTTGCGTAGGCCACCCATATGTAGGCGGATCCGGCAGGGCTGTCGATCTAAGAGTCGCATTTCTTCATAGACTGTCTCTGCCCCAATGTTTGGTGAGTATTCCCGAGTGCAGTGGGAAAAGGCACCCTCAGACCCTGCCTGCTCCAGGAGGCTTGGTAGTGGTCCTACTGGTTGTAGTGCCCGCCGGCCCTGCCAACTGGTCAAAGTGAGGCGGGCGTGGCCTGGGCGGGACTGCTTCACTAGCACACCCAGTAGGTCATAACAGGTTGCATCTGACAGGAAAGGTACTGCCACTACATTGGGCCCAAAGCGTTCTTCGATAACCTGCAGGTAACCAGTTTATGGGACCGGGTTAGGGTCAGGAGTTAACCTGATAGCCTCCTCTAGATTGACCCTCCCACTGTCACTGTTCCGTTATATCTCCACAATATGCTCAGACTGTCCTACTTCCTGCTTACTTCACAGTTCTATCCTGTAGCAAAACCTTGAGTGTTTACTATGTGCCAAACTCTACTAGATACAGGGGATACATGAAAGAATGGAACTTTGTCCTTGTCCTAATATAGCTCAGTCTAATAAAGGAGACAAAAATGTAAACAACGGTAGTCAGCTAAGTAAAAATAATAGCAAGATGTGGAGATTAGAAGTGATTTAACAGCCCTTGTCTTTGACAGAAGATTTCTATGTGATAATACTTGAACCAGGTAGGAGAATGGTCAGTCCAGGGAAAGGGAACAGCTGATGAAAAAAACCTGAGCCTACAAACCAAGATGGGCACATTCAGGAACGTGTAATTTCATATTGTGTAAGTGTACGGTGTGAAGACAGACAAGTATGTAGGAAGTTGATTATGAAAGGCCTGTGTGTATGCTAAGTGATGGGAATTTTATCTCGAGGACAATGGGAAGCCGCTTGAAGCGCTCCACTTAGGGGCAGAATCCGATAAGCATTTTAAAACTAATTTGAATAGGATGGCATAAAATAATCAGTTAATAATAGTTAATTATTATTTAACTATAGTTAAATAATAGTTAATTATAATAGTTAATTATCAGTTAATAATCGAGAAATCAGTTAAGAGTATTATTGTAATATGCCAGGCAAGACATGGTGAGTACCTTAACTAAAATAAGGGGGGAAGATATTTAGGTTATAGAATTAGAAATTGGTCTCTCAATGGGTGTGGGAAAAGGCTTCCTCAAGGATTATTCTCAGGTGATTAGTTGGATGGGTGATGTCATTAACCAAGAATGGGTGTACAAAAATAGGATTGGAATGTCCATTCTTATGCTGTCTGTCATTTCTTAATATGCACCTTCTGCCCAAGTCTCAGGGGATAGTTCTTTTAGGGACTTGAGGCCTAATCTTTGTCATACTAGTTCCAGCGTCCTTTAGGGATTCTAGCTCCTTTTGGTTTTGTCCTTTTTGTCTTGGCCTTTTTGGGTTTGGTAACCCAGTTCTGGAAAGTTTAATGTCATGACCAATTGGGGAACCCTGTAAGATCCTTTCTAGTAATTGTTGTTAGGTATGATATCATTCAAACAGGATATTTTGGCCGAGACTTCTGGCTCCAGGTTCTGCTAGGAAGCATACAAAATTCGTTCTTTGGGCCCCTTTCATGTTAGACCCTGCTCTTCAAACGCTGTGTGCTCTACTTTCCCCCAGCCCCCCCAATCCACATGTCTGTGTCCCTGCTAATGGCAGTCTATTTGGCTGGCCTTCTTGTGCAATTCACCAATGGTCTCTCAAGACTGATCCGCTTTTTGCCACATAGTCACCTTGGCAGTGCTGCCCCCTAGCGTAAAAGGGGAGGGTAGCTATAACTTGTGTCTGCTTTGGACAAGCTGAGTGAGGTAGCTTGAAGGCTACTACTGTCTTTTGTCATCCAGCTAAGGAAATAACTAGTGGTCTTTTTTGGGGGAAATTGTACATGGAAGAATTTCCCAGCATTTCTTCTCCTTTGCATCACTGAGACATGGAATGCTTATTTTTGGGTAGGAATATCAGGCAGAAAAACAGGACTCTTGAGCAATGCCAGTTGGGTTTCCAGGGGTGGGGGCAGAGCACTGGTGGGTTGGCATGTCTGTATAGAATGCTCTGCTCCATGACAGAGCATAGTCACCAAGCATAACTTAGGAATCTTACCCTGCAGAGGTGTCCAACCTATGGCCCATGGGCCACATGTGGCCCAGAATAGCTGTAAATGTGGCCCATCAGAAAATCATAAATTTATTTAAAACCTTTTTCTCCCTTAGTTCTCTTTAGTGTTTGTGTATTTAATCTGTGGCCCAAGACAACTCTTCTTCCATTGTTGCCCAGAGATGCCAAAAGGTTGGGTTCCCCTGCCTAGCGTTTCTCCAGAAGAGGTCCCCCTAGTGGAGTGTGGCATTTAAACACCTGGTTCTTATGGTCCAGCTTTTTGCTAAAAGGCAAGTTAGCTGGAGACTCTCAGAATATAGACATGAATTTGCCATAGAGGTCTATTAGGTCCTTTTTCTTAGCCTTGAGGGTCAAAGTGGTTATCCTAAAATAGGAATAATAGGGTGTTCCATTCCATGCAAGGGTGACTGTTCTTGGTAGAATCACCATTTGGGACTCTCACCTGTTCCCACTGCTGTTTTACTTCTAGGTGAAAGTTATATGGAACTTTGAGGCCTGTAAATTTAGCTCTTCTAGGAGTAGCCCAGGAGAGTATTGGTGGCGATTATCTTCTTGGATGTACCTTGGCAGGTTTGGATTCTGAATGGTTATCTCTTAAGGCACATTTTGTTTAGCTAATGTTCTACAGAGTGCCCAATAAACTTAGCAGTTCTGGAGAGAGGAAACCAGGTCACTCAAAGGTGCCCAAGTCCTTGAATTTGTCCTACCACCAGTGATTTGTCCTACATGTCTCTACCAGGACTTTCCAGCAGTTTTCTATTTAAATAGGATTGGAAGCTTTTCTGATACTCAGAGATGGTGTAGCTTTCTAATAGTGAAAGATTTCCTTTATTTTCATTGTGATTTTAATTGATGTAGTCTGAGACTAACTTTGTCCTCTAATACTTGGGAGGACCCTGGCTCTCATGTTTCTGCTTCTCTGACAAGCTGACCTTTGTGGTGAGCAGCTAGTTCATTTTGAATGGGAACTATGTGCCCTTAAGGCTCCTTGAGTATGGTTGTTTTAAATTTGGTCATCTGCCTACTACAAGTGCTTTAAATTTACTCTCCTTCAGATCACAGAACCTGATCCCTAAATTCTCATCTCATAACGTGTGGTCTGTATTTGTTGAGATTTGTTGGCTACCTGCAACTTAGATATAGTTGAGATCTGCCTGCTCCTTGAAATCTACATATTTAGCTCAAAACCCAAATTGCTCGTTCTGTGGACAGAATATCCATGAAGAGCTCAAAGGTAAAGTTCAGGTTTTTTAGAAAGCTTAAAAAGCCTTTCATAACCACTTTGACCTTATTTTTATCACTAATCCTTTGAATTCTGCTTTACAGGACTATTATAGTTCCTCATTTTTCATTTTCCTCTCCTGTCTTTGCATATACTCTATTTTTAATTAGTACACTGTTCACTCACCCACCCATTGCTCATGAACTCGTTCAGGTGTTTATTAAGCACTGTTGATGTATCAGATATTCAACTCCTGTATGTGTGAATAACTCCTACTTGCCCAGCTAGTATGCCCACTCTCTTCAGGAAGCCTCCTGACCTCCTAAGTCCTGCCCCTGCTTCATCTCTTTGCTCACATAGCTCTC